TTTATGGACACATATTTTTTTAGAATGCCTGACTGACAATAAAGGAACTGTGTTGATACTGATAGCGTTTTGCCTTGCCCTTTTTTTACTGCATCTTCCCATCACATCATGATTTTCTTGCTCTTTTTCTGCTATTGGACTTTATTTTATGGCTGTACAAACCTGTGACATTACTTACACAGCATTCATTGTTCCATCTCTTTCTTTTCCTTATGTTGACAATCTTATCCTGTACTACCTATGCAGGATTTGTCAGCGTACATTCCTTCCTTTATGTGCTTTCTCATTTTTTTTGTTTTTGCACAGCTATACTGTGCATAGCCTACCTTTTTTTTACTATATAAACCCCTGTATTTTACCTTGTAAAATAACAACAAGAACTCGAATCCAAACTTCTTCTCTAAATCTTAAGTTCACTACTCTGCTACTTGTGATCTAGTGTGGTCACAACACTTCCCACTGCTATCACTGTTAACTGCTGTCATTATCACTCATCACTTTTGAAAGTCATTGTCATCCCTTTTGATTAGAGTCCTTCTGAGCACTACAGTCTGTGCGTCAGGAGCCTGCTATCACTGGGAACTTTGTCACCTCGTCACTTTGTTATTCTCAAACCTTACCTTGTGCTACAATTAGCAAGGTAGTGTTTGTCCAAACTCGTCACAAAGCCCTTATCTTTATCTTCCAACTATCCCTCCTCCTCAAAACCCACACCCATACATCTCTGGGTTTGACTTTGAAGGATTGTCATACATACCACCCCACGAACAACCAGAGCACCCACTGTTCTAGGAGGCAAAGCCCATACACAAGTTCTGTGGAATCTGGGAGGATTGTGTGTTAGTTTGTTTTTGTGTGTGGTTTTCTAACAATAGTTTTCATCATCAACATTGCGCCGTTGTGGAATCCGTCTCAGCAGCATTTACGATATACACTTTCAGTGCTTATGATTCAGTGTTTGCTGGATTGAAAGAGGTTTGCAGTACATAATTATTGCTAGTCACTGTATAAAATAATATAATGTGTATGCTGTAGACTGTTTTTGCCTTTTCTGTGTGAATGTAAGCAAGATGTCAATG